AGGCATAGTGTCAAGGTGTTTGATATTTTCTTTAATATACCTTATCAACCTTGGTTGTATCAATTTTTTAAAACCGATAGAGTAATTTAAAAACACTCTGATATATAATTTATATGTTTTTTTTAAATAGCCTATCGTATTTTTTCAGTACAACAGTTACACTCTGGAATCTACTTAACATGGGTGATGCTCTATATCTCCATTCATTTTATTTTTCTGCAGTAAGCAGAATGTTAATCAGAGTCTTCTGTAGTGGTGAAGGTGGTCCCAGCCTCAGAATAACATCTCTTGCTGGGCAGTAGTAACACACTGTACATGTGGGGGAGGGGAGAGGTGGAGGAGGGGCTCCTGCTAGCTGTAGTTCATACATGAGCTGTTCAGTTTACAGCACAATAAACAGCCATAGCTGCATTGCAGTGGCTTGGCCCAAGTTGTGAGTGCAATACCACAAAAAACAGCTTTATTACAGTTCTCCTGCTTACAGCACGGGACTGTATGAACAGCCACAAAACCAGGGTTCTGTAATTATGGTGATCACTTATCATTCACTAGTCCAGATCTTCTACAATAAAATCTGAGCTAATAAAACGGTATTGGATTATTGATAGATTTAACATAAGGAAGAGAAAGTTACAACATGCCTTTTCCAAAGCTTAGTGACTGATCTCTAACCTGAAAGCCTTTAAGCTTGGCTCAGAGTGGTAAGACCTGATGTGAAGGTGTAGGGCCAGTGGCTGAAAAAAGTCAAGGGGTTGCATGAAATATGAGCGTTTGTGGTAAGGATGGAGGGAATCTCTAATGGAGTCTTATGTTTACATTTTGAATCTCCTGTTTATCTCTACAATGACACTAACTCTTGTACAAGGCTGAAAACAAATGGAGAGAAAGATGTCTGCTAAGTATTAACATACTCACCACTCTGATCAAATTTATTTTTTACTGAAAGTACAACAATTTCTAAATTAAAGAATTTAAAATACTGTCCCTTCACCCCATTTGCCAGCATTTTTAGGTTCCAATTGCTAAGTTTCAACCGTCATTTTTTGCACGGCATAGTTAAACAATGCTGGAGGAAAATTTTGACCACATTCTCTATTTATTCACTGACTGCCTTCCTGGTTAATTCCTCAAAATATACCCACCTCTCTTACAAAACCTTCAGGCATATTTAAGGAAACTTTTACTCTCATTGTGGAGGAAACATCAAAATATAGAACTACAAATGGATAAAACTGCAAAAGTGTAACTGATTGTCTGTTTCTCCTGTTTTTTTGTCTGATGCCATTTTCCTTGGCTTGTTTTTTTCTTGCTCAGAGGTGAGTGAAGCCACAAACACTCTGGGAGCAAGTACCCTGGGACCCGGCACCATGGGCCTGAGCACACGATACAGCCCCCAGTTCACCCTCCAGCATGTTCCAGACTACCGGCAGAACATCTATATCCCAGGCAGCACCGCAACACTGACCGGCAACAATCCACAGGCCCAGACCCAGGCGCAGGTTCAAGTTCAGGCCTTGCCTCAGCCACAGCCCGCAGCGGTAGAGGCGCCTAAACCTGCCCAGACCCCGGCCAACAAGAAGAAGTCTGGAAAGAAGGAGAAGAAGTGAAGAGCCGCCGACACAGGGCTTAGGTCACAAAAGATCTCTTTCAATCGGATACACACATAAACACACACACACGCAAAAGACTACACCTTCATTTTTTGTTGTATTTTTCGCTCTTTAACCTGAATGTTACACAGTTGTTATTAGTGGCTTGGAGCTTAGTAAGCCGTGGGTTTTTAGTCCGTTTTATTTGTAGGACTCCCTGTAGTGTGCGTTCATCGTTATTTGAGTATAACATGAAGTTCTTTAAAAGTAGAGGTATTATTCCTGGAATAAAAAAAAAGTGATTCATGAATCCAGATGGATTTAAAGGTATGACGTTAACAGTAAATAAAATCAAAATGGGAACTTCAGGGCTTTGCCCTATATTGTAGTATTAGTATAAATATGAGTCATTTACAAAGTATATGCCACATTATGGATTTTGTTTGACTGTGACAAAATGCAAAGTACATGCTTCTAGTGAGAAAGAAGTGGCTTTATTTTGAACTGAATTTAGGATTTTCAGAAAAGAATCAGTTTTAAGCAGTAGCTCCTAAAATAAAATACAGTAGATGCTTGCATGATCCATTTCTTGACTACAGAATTAAACTACAGAAGTTAAACTATGCATTAAATAAAAAAAAACAGTGTTTGACAGGTAAGAAGAGATGTCCTAAACCAGCAGCAGAAACTGCTGTATCTTCTCAAAAATGCATTAGTAGTATTAACTATAGATAATGTTGCTTAAAATAATATAGCTTATAAAGAAAAATATGGGTTTGTTTTAGACCTCCTTATGTTGTTTAACAGAAACTTCAAATTTCAAGTTCTTTTGAAAACTAATTTTGCTGCAGCTACCAGATGAAGTGTTGAATGCCATATAAAACTGTCCTACAGTAGAGGAGCAGTTTCAAAATTACATGGCAAGAGTAATTTTGGTAATCAGTGCCATGCCATAGGATTTTCATACACAACAGTGGTACTGCATATATATATAGCACATGTCAATCAAAATTGAAATTTACCACTGGCACGGCCAGTGTTGACATTGATAATCTCCTGGCAGAAGCCTTTGAGATGTAAGTTGCATTGACCTTTCGTTGGAATCATTACAGTATATAACAATATAAAGCTTTGCATTTCCAGCGGTTTATTGCATGCATCACATTCATGTCACATTTTACACGCACTGTAACACAGCTTCGCTTTACTAAGACTCGGCCATGTGTTGCATGAGACAAGTACGCTGCATGAGATGGCCACACCCCTGTTTAAACCAAGCTGAAGGAGCCTACAGGTTGATTTCAGTAGACAGCATGAAGAAGAAGGACTCAATGGGATGTTATGAAGGCTGAGATATTGTAGATACACAAATTAACACTAGGGACCCAAGCAACTACTTAGTCCAAAACACTGCTTGCTGAATGCATCTTGTTTTGGTTTAGGGATGGGGCTAGAAGTTTAATTATTCAAGACTATGAGGAGTAGGAAGTGTGGGAAAAGTAAATTCTGTGTACTGGGGCTGTTGCATCACTTAACACAAAACACAGGTGCTGCCCAATCCTAAAGAGTATTTAAGTATATAAGTGATTTCAAAACCAGAAAGCTAGAAGAGGCCAAACGTGGACTGCCAAGGATATAATATCAGGCCTTATTAGACAGCCCTGTGCTCCCCAAAAAAGTCCATGTTAACTGCTCTTTGAATAACTCTTCTAGGCAAAGACTTTTGTACAGAGTTGTACAGAGCTTGAAGTCTTCAATGCATAGGCTCATTTGTGGTAATTAAGTCCATAATTCATTTAACCTAATAAATGTAGAACGTGGCACTATTTAGCAGTTTGCTTTATTGCTTGTGATTCTGACTACAGTATACTGGGTGTATGCCACTGACATGATGTCAAAGGTAAAGAATTGTTTTTTACAAAGCAACATACTGGATCAGAAATGTAAGGGCAGTTTAGATGATGTGCACGTGGAAGGATAGAGAAGAGCTTGTCTGACAGTTGCAAATGTGGTGATCAGATACTGACCTGAAAGAGGTGAGACGTGATATTTGTGGCTTAACAGTCAATGCCTTACAGCTCTGCCGAACACACATTTTGCCAGGGCTAGTAGAAAAAACACTGGGGGACCTCTGTAGATGCCTTTCTTTTTAGGAGTCTTTAGAAATCAAATATCTTGTGGGGAAAAAAAGACGAGGGTGTACAGTGTTTCATTCCCTTTACATTTCACCTCCTGACATAGGCATGTGAATGCCTGCCCCTCACCACTCCCACTTTAGGCCAGATGAGTTTACCATAGCCTGTACAGTGATTCCAGTCACTCTTGCTGCACCTGATGTGGATTAAATATGAGCACTGTCTTGTTTGACTGGTCATCAGAGTGCAGATGCAAGAGGCCCGCAAAGCCACTGTGTTTGCATTGCAAATTCAGGGAAGAAGGCAGAGCAGCCTATTTTGGGCTAAATTATAGAGGTATCTTTCACGCACAAACCAGTCAAAGCGCCAGTAACGGAGACAGCAAGTTTGTAACAGCAAGACTACAATGGAAAATACCTTTACAGGCTCTGTATCTGTATCTAACCCGATTTACATTTCATTTGCCACTTTGTATTGCATCAATTTGTCTCCATTCCTTATTTTTCTGTGTAAATAATGCCAGATTGTCATTGGAGGACCAGCTGTCTGTATGGACCACTTAAAAGAAAATAATCAAAAGGAAAGAGAAAAGCCCCCAGATGTGGCTACTACTGGAATGTTTTACATATTTTTCAGAAAAAAAAGAAAATGAAAAAAAAACAGAAATGTCTTCAAGTGTAGTTGTATAGCAACTGAGCATTAAGATCACGATTAATAACAAGTGTACATAAAATTTAAATAACACATGAATAGAGTAGAAATGTGATTGATGATGTGCATATTTTAGTGTTTTTTCTCTGTTTTACCACCCAATACTAAAAAAAAACATAAAAGGTTAAAATGTTAAAAAAACATTTTGTGTTTCTATTCAGCTGTAACTTTTTATATGTGTTTGTGATTAATAAGTGTTTGTGCTGATGGAATGCCTTTCTGTCCCATATAAATATATATACGTCTGCTGATGAACTAAACTTCTATATTATACCTAAATATCTTTCTTATAAATGCATAGATCAGTGCTATTCTGTGTTACACCCATATTTTATATGCTAATATTTATATTGCTGCTTTATTTTCTCTTTGAACACTGACATTTCAAATAAAAGTTTCTTCTGAACTCATGACCTTCTCTTGCTTGTGATTTATGTAATCTTTAGTGCTGTGCAAAATTTGCAAATCTGCAGCATCCACATAAAATTCTCACTGGCAAAACACATACTGTTACTTAAGTTAGTAACTTATTCAATTACTGTAGGTTACTGGGACCTGTACTGAAACAAAATACAACAGATATTAGTAACGCAATAAAGTATTTTTTTTAATGTAAATGTGTAAATCTAGGACAGGAAAGTCATGAGCCCACTGGTTTTCATTTCAACTTTCATTCCATCTTCCTTTATGAACTAGAAATTTGGACTACATGTCACATCACCAGTTTTGTTTTAGGTCTTAATCAGATGCGAATAGAGTATCTTTAAAAGCTGCTGAAACCCAGGCCTCAAGTACTGCTGCTAAATATGGATCCCGAACCTTGGTTCCAGACCAATATAGGGTTTCCTAGTTTTTAGTCTAAGATCTAAGATACAGTATATACTGTATGCCAAAGCTGAACATGAACCTGAAAAGCCAAAGTGGATGTGAATCTCGAGAGACCAGGGACACCAGTACAATAACAAGGGGGACTATAAACATGTCATTATCATACACTACTATGGGACAGTACTGAAGATTCCAAACAAGAGTTCAGCAGGTTTAAGCTCAAGTTACATAGTAGCATTTTTCTTCAATTTTCAGAATAAGGAAATATTTTATTCTGTTGATGCTGTTATATGAAAAATAAGTGCTGCACAAATTCAAGAAAGCCCCTCAACACCTTTCCAGTCCTTTGTAGTTCTGTAATAGAGCTAGCAGCTTATTTGCTGTACTGGTAATGGTAATGATTATGAAATAATTCAGTGTTGAGGGTAGCTTGAAAAGAAAAGCACCAGTCCAAGCAATTGAAATGGTTCAAAGAGACAGGTGATTTCAATTACAAAGGTGATAGCAGTTCAGTGGTGACTGCTGTCGGCTGACTCATACTGTATGTAATATCTGACCTATAATGATGGAGTCTTATAGAAAGAAATTTCATTTTTTCTACTCTATCCTGAGTACGTAAGGGTAACACTGCAGAACACTATGCCCTTTCAAATTGATTCCTGTTTTTCCATCACAGTGTAAATTGGTCCTCACCAAAATCATTACAAAGCCCCAAACACACAGGCTTTTACCAATGAATGAAAGCAATTGATGCTGTCTGGACTAGAATACATTTTGTCAATGTTATAGACAAGCTTTTGAAATGATCTCTAAACTCACAAAGAGTGGTTCAGTTTTACATTCATTTCTCTTGAAAGATTCCAAATTCCAATTGACACACACAGCCGAAAAATAAAATAATTTAGATGCAACATGCCCATTGATACAGTATATAAATGTAATTTGTTTTTCTCCTCATACTGATTATAATCATGACCAAGTGAAGTTTGGAAACATAAAGTAAATAGAGAAAATGTCGAATAGCATTTAATTAAATCATACCCCCATCCCTCTTTAAAATACAATTAAAACTATCAAAAAGGATATTGTTCACAGCTCTTGAGTCCTGTGCTTGATTCTGGCCTGTGTGGAGCTTGAATGTTCTTCCTTCATGTACGTGGCTTAGCACCTACAGTATTTTATTGTCTGTCTACTCTCACCTCACAATCTGCGTTTGTGTGTCTCTGGTCTTCTGTGTCCCCCAAACTAATTGACATTCTATGGGTGACAGGGCCTTCTCCTGCTACAGTCCACAGCTCTGGAATTGTATCCACAAGGACATCAGAGAGTGACCTACCCTGAGTGCATTTACATTTTATTTTCAAAAGAGCTTTTAGTTAGTGCCATGTCTGCTCCATTTTCTAATGACCTTATATCTCCTGCTGCACCTCTAACCAATTGAGTTTCTTATTTTCTTATACTGTATGTAATTTTTTTCGAACTGATTTTTTTAATCTACTGTAAAGCTCTTTTAAATGCTACATTTCAGTTCTACATAAAATAAAATGTAATGACATCAATGTGTGTGGGTTTTTTTTTTCCAGGTGATCTAGTTGTCTATTAATGATGTGGTCTGGATTAATCTGTGTCACCAAATTGTGCCTGTTAGTGCACCAGCAATGGAATAACATTCTGTGTATAGTGTTGTCTTTCCTTGTTTATTGTGTTTCTGGGTGCCTAATGGATTAAAGAAGTTAGGTTCTAATTGTAATATTCATTTGATAGGAAAGGCCAACGAACATGTATTCTACAACAGCAAGCAGAACATATTGACAGAAAATAAAACAGAAATCATTCAATTCCTGCCGATGAAAAATAGAAGTTTTATGTACCGTTGACTTCTAAATCCATACCATTTTAATTCTGGAATGACCTACTTTTTTCTGCATTAATCTCAAGCAAGCTCAACGCCGTTCAGAAAGAAATTGAAATGCTGGAACATAAAAAGGAAATCAGAGGCGCCTCTGAGCTTTGCAAAAATAGGGCATTAACCCCTTTTGTGCCTGGCATACTGAACACATTTCTGAAGCACATGAACACCAAAAGTGATGTAAATGTAATTATTGTAATTATAACATTTTCACCTTTCTATGCACAAAATGAATTTTCAACCCAAAACAAGCAATTGCATGTTTTAGAAATATGGCAAAAACCTTTTTGATTCTGATACAGTAAGTGTTTCCACACTGACATACAAATATGTACTGTATCTAGCACGTTTCTGGCATATTAAAAATAAATATCTACGCAATGGGATACATACTGTACTTTAAATGCAGGTTGTCCGATGACTCACTTTAGAATGATATAGTTAGCTGAAATCTCCAGCTAAAAAAAAGCCCTCGAACACTTTTCCCTTGAATCAAAGGTTGATAAAGCACGAAGGGAAGGAAAGTCACTTAAGGAACTTACAGTAATGCATGTTTTCAGTGGGGATATTGTATGCCATTTCAATGTGTCTGAATTGGACACAAATACGTTTTTGTGTTTCTTCTTTGCCCTCCAGTTCAGCAGAAAAGAACTGCCAATGATTCATTGAGTTTCTGTTGTTTATAGTCACAGTGCTCTCTCTTTGCTTGGTTTCCTATACTCTCTAAACAGAAGAAAAAGTTTTCCAATTTTAAATTCATTCATAATCAGGGGTGAAGAAATGATCGTTTGGATTGATAAGAGATGCGAAGTATTTCAAATGTATGATATGGAAGGCAACAGAAAGTTATCATATAAAATGATTGGTACCACAGAAGCCTTTAAAGGTAGTGCAGCACAAGAAGTGGTCATATACGTACAAGGAAATGTAAGGGTCTTAAATAACTACAAAACCAATGAGATGCTGATCACAGATAATGCTTTTACTGTATCTTTAGTTATCAACTGGGAACCAATTATTTGGTTCAAAGAAAAATAGGCGTTACGACTTACATCTTAGTTAAAAATAATTATTTTCGAAATAGTCTGGGTATTCAAAAACCGGGTTGTATCTTACAATATTTAGGAATTGACTCCTCCTTTGTTAGTCGTGGAAAAAACCGAACAGCAAAAATATATGCACCACATTGACTGGGAAAATTCAATCATCTGACTGGACTGCTGATTTCAGTGGAGTCCGCTCTTGTGAAGCATAACAGCACAAGCCAACTCAAATGAAAATGCAGATACTATTACAATTTCATGCTTGTACAGCTATTTTGAGGAAAAAATGAAAAATGCTTTGTTACACTGGTGTGTAATTCTAATCCCTAAGCAATTAATTTCAGCACTCCATTTTGTAGATACTGTATCTCCTAATTATTATTAAGTGCTTCATACCTGGAAAAATAAAGTTATTAGAGTGATAATTTATTGGAGTAACATACCGTAGAAACAAGGAAACGTATTAAAGAAAGACATAAGTATTCCTGGAAAATTTGAAGATGGTGAAGTTGGGACAAACTTTAAAATGGAAACTGTACATCCTTGTTATCAAGACAATACAAGTTTTTAGTGATACTTTCAGTGCTTTGAACGATAGTCAGAAACTTTATTTTGCAAACCATTCCTATAGCAGCAGCACCGTGAGCCCATGCTTTTTTTTCTTTAAGGGGCAACTTTCCAAACGGATGACAGAAAAGTATTTTTTGTCACTTACCAGACATCTGGTATGGAGATGGGAGATGGCCAAAAACATTATGTACATCCTGTGTGGGAGGAAAATAGAAAAACCTATAAAGAGGCCAACTTTACTAAAGAATTAACTTTCTGAAAAGTCTTTTGGGGGAAAGTATTCTTTTGCTTAGTGTCATATCTATGGCAGATCATAGATTGAAATTCGTAACGCTCAGCTTTTATTGATTGGGAGTCTCTGCAACAACCGGAATAAAATCCGAGTGTGATTATCTGTGGTTTATTTTAATCCTTTTTTTAAGCAAACCAATCTGCAGTTGTAAGGATGTTTCAGGCCCTCCTGTATAAGCAGTGCTGTTGATGTAAGAAGAAAAACAGATGAGGAAAGAGTGATGAACTAATAGTTGGAAGCTAATTCAATCCAATAATGTGAGAAAAAAAAAACAGTGCTCCTGCTGCACAAATCCAAGCAGTCTAGCAGTTGAACACATCATATGATCCTGCCAGTGCAATTATAATGAGCTGCTGAGCAGCTGCTAGTGTTAGAATGGAAAGATTAAAGTTTCATTTGACCCCCTGGGGACATGGGGCAAAGTTAGTGTACCACATTAAAGTTGCACCAGATCAAAATTAAAAAAGATGTTATTATCTTCATACCACTTTGAGGCCTGATTGCACTGTTGTACCATGCATGTAGAGAATTCAGTCTACTATGCTTGGGTGATGAAGCTCAGAATGCTTGACTGAAGCCTGAAGCAGTTGTGGACTGTTAATCAAACTAACTTTTAAAATTATTTCCTGCATTCATGAGGACAAACTATTCTGGCAATATTATCCAGGACTCTAACTCTCAAGAGCTATCTGAATTGGAAAAAAAAAAAGATGTAAGTTACAAATATGGCCAGATATTACCCAGTTACATACATTTGTTTCCCAGACA